ATTTGAATTCCACATTTTTACTGTAACATTTGAGTTCTGTAAATAAATTTGTTATTTATAAATGTTATAAATAAATCCATTTTTGTATGAAAATTATTATTAATTTTTAAGAATAAATGAAGACTGGAAGAGTCCCAAAAAGCATTTTTTTTATACATCAATCATTTTGACTAGTGTGGTAGAAAATGGTGGTATATCTACTGTTAATTATACAAATACAAATAATACTGTAATTTTTACATAACACAATTCTTACCATAGATATGAACAAAAACATAAAATATATAATTATAAATGTGTGCAATTTAAAAATTATAAAGGGTTAAAACGACGTCTTATTAAAATTGAAATAGAAAAGTAAATATAGAAGTAGTAGAAGTAGTAGAAGAAGTAGAAGAAGAAGAAGAAGAAGAATAAGAACAAGTCAAAGAAGAAATTGAAATAATCGTGAAACATTTTTCTGGCGAAGCTCGATGACACGATTTATGTAACTTACAAGGAGAGCTCGAGTAAGATGTAAATAATATTACAGTAATTTTAAATTGATTTTCTTATCTAATATATTTACTAATTTTTTAAGAACTCTCTTTGTTAGTTTAAATATATTTTGTAAGAACAGTATAGTCTCCTCAAAGGGATAACCAATCAATGATATGTTATATGAGGACGTATCTACTCAAAATAATAATAATAAATTATAATAATAAATAATAATAATTAATAATAATATAATCACATTACGCTATTGAAATAAGTACGTGCACTTGGAAAATAAATTGAACACAATAAGAGTGAGCCATGTTACTTAATAAAGTTATTTTCAATTTGAGAAACTTTTCATTTTGTTTTGGATTCATGGATTCGTAAATAATGGCTCACCTGAGGCCCCGTCGGAGACAACCCCACACTCGAGCTTCAACATTATTCAAGTCCAACTCCCTTTTTGTACAGAGACTTCCATTTTGCTTCTTAATAAGTTCTTTATCATAATTATATAATATATATATCATATTTTTTATCGACTTATTTCTTACTTTGTTGGTTGTGCCATACACACGCACAAACAAACAATATGTATATATAATTATTGTCATATATACAAAAAAAAAATGGAATTACAAAAATTTTCAAATTTTCTTTCGATATCAATTAATTATTTTTTTTTATATACAATATTTATATATATATATATAAAAATAAATGTTCAAAAATATAAATAAACACGTATAAAAATGAATGTGAAGAATGAGTGAGAGTTTTCTTTGATTTTATGTTTGTTATATTGTTGTTTTATAATATTAATAACCAGTTATAAAGCGTGTGTTTGACGACTATATTCGTCATGGAGATGTGACAACAATTTTTCTGTTATTACGTCTATATACATCCATGCGTAAAAGTTTCTTATACAATTTGATGTTTAAATTAATGTCATTTTGGTAACAAAAACTAAATTATATTCGTAAATTTAAATATGTTTCAAATGTTTAAAGGTGAAAACAAAAAAATAAAAAAAAGTCAAGAATACATTTTGAACTTTTATAAATATTCGATTATTCGTTTATCTAATTTTTTGTTTGTTTATTATGATATAAATAATATGTTCTTCATATATTAAGAAACTGTGTGTACTACATTACTAACAAAATTGTTTATTTTTCTAAAATAAAGTCGTCTTTTTTGACTATCCAATATTTTAACAACAGCGCCCACTTATTCTGTGTTTGACGACTATATCCGACATCGCTTGATTATCGCGACACACACCAGAGAGCGCGCGCACTCTGCGCACAGATCATCGGCCATACTTAACTGGTTAATAATATTTTTTTGAGTGTAAATTTTGTTTAAAAATGAAAACATATATATATATATAGATTCATTTTAGATGATATTAATGGCACAAAGCAAGAGTAAAGACGAAGATGAATTATGCATCTAGTCAAATGATACGTACAAAGCATAAATTAGTAGACAAGATAGATAACAATAATATTATTACTATTCTATAGCAATGATATGAATAATAATATGTAATTAGAGAAAAAGCTCGTCATATACTTGCAGAGACAATTGTTAGAAAAACAATTTATATACACATATATACACACACATATATAGTACATCCGATTTAAACAAATATATATATATGCGTTATTAACAAACATACAAATATTGGTTTTTATACAAAAATTATTTTAGTGTAAACTTCGAATTATTTTTATAATTCAACTTTTATATCAATTTGTATCTTCTTCTATTTTGTTTATAATTATTAATTAATAAATAATTTTATGTATATATATATATATTTAATATTCGGATTATACTGTATATATACATATATATAAATAGTATATACGTACATAAAAATATACACATATGTATAATGTATATCACCCCCTAAAACAAATACAATTCTTTATTGGATTGAAGATCAATCATTCTACTCAGCTCTATGATCTATAAAAGCCCCAGAATTACTATAGAAATGATCTAAAGCAGTAAATATAGAGTATATATATATATATATATATTTTGTTGATTAGTATTTATATACTGTATAAATTATAGAAATAGAGAAAGAGAGAGAGAGAGACAGAAAGAGACGATTAATTATAGAATGCAGTATCTATAAGAAAGAACAAACATAGATATCTATACATTTTGTAAAAAAAGGATGTAATTATACAGTTTGTAAAACAATTAGCACATAAATTGAAAATTGTAAATTTCATTGAATATTAAAATTGTTTTGTTTTTCAATTAGATATTTCATTTAGAATAATAAAATCACAGATATATTTCGTATTATTAGTATCTGACTTTGAAAGAAGTGAAGAATACATACTGTATAATGTAAAAAAAAAAACAAAAAAAAGAGTATATTTGATTTTTAAAAAATGATATATGAATTCTTATCTTCTTTCATGTTTTTATTTTGAAGGCTTTTAAAAGCAAATGAAATTGCATTTGTCATGGTCACAATTTACATGAGTGGCATGCGTTAATATAAAATAATTACATACACACATACTAATGTGTACGTATTCTGTAACATAAAAATAAAATACAAGCGAATAAACAAAAAAATTCCTTGAATAAAATGATTCAAAAACGAAATATATTTTTGTTCAAAAATTCTTTTCAAATTTATTTAATATGAGTGTATTTATGTTTTCATACGTACAACATACATACACTCCTTTTGTTTTGAAAAAAAAAAAAAAAAAAAAAAACAGTGCAAAAGAAAAGAAAGAAAGTATTAACGTGCATCATTGCTAAATCCATTGAAGAACACGTTATTTCATATTATTACATCCTCCTTAAACACATTAAAATCAAACTAAATGAAAAAGATTTTGAAATAGCTTTCTTATAATCAATCACCATATATATATATATAGGGAGCGAAAGAATGAGAAGAATGAGAAGAGTAAAAGAGTATCGAAGGAAGAATGAGTCTGTATAAAGTTCAGTTAATTATCAAATTATACAGAACTTTTCATCATTTACTGAAACTTAACAAAAGAAATTATTCATTCAATCCTGTTACATCGGTATTCAACATTATATTATTGATTAATCTTCTAGTAAGTTAGTGTATTTAATTTTGATATCATTTTTGTAAGTTAGGATGTAGAATTGCTGTATAAGATTACCAGTATTAGCTTTTGTTTACGATTAAAAGCAGCAAACGTTTGGATTAAGACATTTTTGTTGTTGTTGTTGTTGTTATAAAGTATAAGCGAACGATTCATGTTATAACAGACTTAATTATCTTTGTTCACGTATATATATATATACATTTTGTATGATACTTTTACAGATGAGAGAAGATGAGAGAAGTATAGGGATATACTTGTTAACAGTATATTTGAAAAATAAATATACTGTTATTTTATAATATCAAAAATATGATAAAATTGAAGAAGAAAATGATTAATCCCTATAAACAACACATATACAAATGGCAATCTGATACAGTTATTCTGCAATAATCGTGGATAACAGTAGGAACACAGGTAAACGCAATATAGGCAGTTACATTTAGATCCTCTGAGAGGGTTCCTGCAGATGGTAGGAGGTGGAACAGCAGGAGGTAGATTGTTTCCCTGAGGAGTTGCAGGTGCAGAACCAGATCCTGCTTGTCTCTGCTTGTCTGAAACAGCACTCATCATTCGCTTCTATGAACATTTCCCACCTCCATTAACCTTTTTCTCGCTTATTCTTGTTATTATTTATCTCAACATCATGTTATCAACAGGTATGATCCTTGTAGATTCAATAACGTAATTGCACTCCAGAGGAATGATATTTATAACTTATTATTTATACACATTATACATATGTACAAATACATATAATACTTGTATTTATGCATTGTATGCTTTATATATGTATTTATATATATGTGTGTAACAATTAATGCAGCAATGAGATTAATTACATAAATTTGGCACGTTTCGAATGAAGCTGTGTGTATTTAGTCGTCAATGGAGTTATTACAAAAAAAAAGGGGTGGTTACAGAAGGGGGAGGAAAATAGTGGTAAAATAAAATAAAGAAAGAAAAAGAAGAAGAAGAAAAAAAAAGAATAAAAGAGTGTCACTTAAAATAGAACTTGGAAGAAAATTTGCGGATTAGAAGTTTGACTTCTTTCACGTTCACACTTTATGTTATCTGTTTTTATAAAAAAAAAAAAAAGAAAAAATAAAAAAAACCACATGATTACCCTCTCCTTCTCCCTTATAAAAACGCATTATATTCTGCACACTATTCTTTGCTATACTGTTAGATTATAATGCATAAGCGATATAATGCAACAATCACGCAAGCAACTGCAAATCCAGCAAATTGTACTGTAAATATTTCTCTAAATGTATATATTTCCAAATTTATAAATGCCATTAGCTGTAGCAGGCGAGTGAGGAATATATACTAGTAATAAAGTGATATCATCAATGATATAATATAAAATAGTTAAATTTCAAATTCTAGACCTACCAAAATATAATGTGCACGATATACACACATTTCATTGGCCTTGTCGAATATTTCAATTTTCTACCTTTGAAGTAACTTTTTTATTTATTTCTATAAAAAAAAAGTTATGTTATAGTGTAAGTATATAAGGACCAATTGTTATTAATTGTATTATAATATCAAATTGAAGATTTAAGCATTGATTGATTAGTTGCATTTACAATATTAGCAAAGCTCTAAAATAACAAAGTTATATTTATCCAAACATTTCGTGCTTTATTACATTTAGGTAGGTATTCGTTTTCGCGATTAATGTATTACGATAATTTGAATAAAAGTTTGCTTAACTTAAATGGAACCTACCCTGGGAGTTGGACATGAACAGGTTGAGTAAAGAGGTAGTACGGCGGGAAGCCTTGGTGGCTTGCGTATGTGACAGTTCTCTGTCCCTGTCCCTTTGTTTTTCTTTCTCTCTATCCTTTTCCTGCACCATTTCCCTATCCCCACTTATTCGAGAACCCTCCCCTTTAAATCCCATATCTGGTTTTGAATCGTGACTGTTACCAGCAACACCAGTTTCACCATTCGCTCCTTTTGATGTATCCTTGGATGGTTCTACACCTCCCTCGGATTGGGAATGCCCTGTGACCTCTGCTATACTCATCATAACATCTTCAAATTCGATGACACCTAGTTTGTAGAAAATCAAAATGTCAATAACCAATCCCTAATCTTCTCAGTTTACGATATTTCATTTCTTTCATTATTTCTTTTATTACCTGGTTTTTCTAAGCCTGTGCTTTTACTTTGAACAAATTGTTCCAATAATTTATCAACAGTCATTTCTAAACATTGTCGCTTGAAGTCCACGTGTACCTGACCAACTTGTTCATGATTCAACTGTAAGACATCTGCATAAACATTCAAGAACTCCTTCATTTGTTTCAGATGTGCTTCCTCGACGTCTTGGAATCGCTTAGTAATGAAAGCAATAAATTCATTAATGTATCATAACAAATCTTTGTCCATATTATTTCAGGAAGATTCAGCGTGTAACAGATAATTATGATAAGTACCCTGCAAGCCTGAGTCATTTTTGTTTCAAAATCATTTCTTATTAACGTATACTTTTCAACTAATGTCTTGCAGTCATCTTGTGCCTTTTTAAATTTTGCTTCTGCTTTTTCCAATTCTTTCTGGCTAGCATTGTCTTTCTTAAGTTTTTCCAATTCATTGCCTTTTTGCGTACATAAGTCTTTTGCTTTGTGTAAAGTTACAGTAATGGCTTGTATATTTTGTACTGTTTCTAAAGTCGAGGATTCTTCTTCCTTCACCTGAATATTATTACAATATAAACGGATATATTCATTCTCACAATGAATAAAAACATATATATGCATATTACACATAGAGATACATAATGCCTTAAGGACAAGTGAAATATAATACAAGAAAAAAGAAACATATGAAAACTTGATTCTGTCATGACTTGTAGAAAATCATAAAATACATTTGATGATTCAATCTTTTATAATTTTATCATTACATATTGTAAAACACTTATCTTGAAACATTGTATATCAATGTGTATGCATATGGGGCATAGCAGAATGCTTGTGTACATAGAAGATAATAATTATAATCCATTATTTACAATATACTATCATTCTATGATTATTTTTTAGTATATATATATGTTCAACACAGTCATTCTTATGCTCACGAATAAAACAATTTTCGATTGTTCTTTTTATAAATGTTTTTGGGCAATTGTTAATAATTATTTACGTACAGCTTTATGCTTCTTGTGAAGTTCATCGGCATATTTGGATACATCTTTTATAAGTTCAGCAACTCTTTGGGCCATCTGCAGATGCAGACCAGCGAGTTTTTCAGCTGCACCTCTTAGTGCAGCCCAAACTGGTGCAAATGTACCTTGAGTACTACTGCTGTTACTTGCTTGTTTAGCTACTTTACTTAAGAGTTTATAATTGTTCTCCTCAATGGCAGATCGTTCTCTTAGAAACTCTGCTAATTCCTTACTGGCTATTGCACCATGCTTCATGTTATGGTACAACACGTCAAATCCATTATTTTTTTCGCCCTTAAAATCAAGAATTATTCGTCATTACCTATCATCATTCCAAACGGGTCTTTGTTTTCAATTATTTTCAAAATAATCAAAATTGTGACATGAATAAAATTAACTAATGGAATATACAATCAATAATGTTTCTATTTAACTTATGTAAATGTAATTAGATAATATTACTTATATATATAGTACTTAAAATATATCTTGAATAATGTCAATATTACTCAAGAGACTACATTTATAAACGTAAGCTACATACATATCGTATCAGTTGTGTAATGTAATAAAAGAAAGAGATGAAGCGTAAGTGGGCTATTATTACAATTCCGAGGGGGCGACCTATGATCATTTTAACACCGACTATAAATCGTATAAACATTCTTTTTTTTTTTTTTATGGAAAAATAAAAAAAACCTTACTACAATAATGATTAATCAGAAATATACTTTCAATGTAATCTTTCAATTAGCATATAAATTGAAATCAATTTCAAACAGATATTATTTTCCCGCGTTTTGTAGGCAATCCAATCAGAGTTCACATAAAAGAAAATTATTACGAATTTAAACAAAATATACGATGATATAATAAGTAATAAAAATAATCATAATCTATATAAATGAATAATATAATTATATCGTTAGTTATCGATTGTATCGATAATTCATTGCATATACAATTTTCTATTAATCGAAATCTATGCAGAATAATAATTACAAAATGAATAATATTTAACCACATATTATATTGAAGATGACTGTTTAAAATGTGAAATATTAACAGAAATTAATTTCGTGTTTCAATGTGATTAGTAATAAAGGAAAAAGGAAACAACGTACTATCACTATCTTATCCGTATCGTACAGTGGACATTTAATATAACGCAAAAGGAAAAATACATCTCTCGTCATTAAAATCAGAATGTGACAGTGTATTCTTCTTCTTCAAAAAAAAAAAAAAAATAAAATAAAATTAAAAAATAATGGAGATTATATTACCAAGACCAAAGTTGTTTTTATACTGTTTCCTGATAATAAAAAGAAATATCTATATATTTAAAAAGAAATTATCTGTTTCATTAACACTAGATATACCAGACCCAGTCATTTTGACTGGTCAGGCCATTTTTATTCAAAATTTCTACTTCATGTAACATTTGATTTTTGTTAATAATTTAATAATGTTTACAAATCCATTTATGTATTAAAATTATTATTGTTAAACATTTCTTTGTTATTTTTTAAGAGTAAATAAAGACTGGAAGCCTTAAAAAGCATTTTTTTTTGTATACACCTGTCATTTTGACTAGTGTGGTAGAAATAGGTATACTGAAAATGGTGGTATATTTAGTGTTAATAAAATGACACCATTGTAAACATTCAAATTTGTAATATATATAATTTGATATTTTCATCTTCTTGTTCTCTCTATTGGAATTACAATCATCAAAATGTTTCTCTCTAAGTTTTAAAATAAATGAATATTAATAAAGAAGAAAAAGGCAAACAAGTAAACATAGAAACAAAAAACAGTTGAAAGATTAAAGAGACAATAGAGGAATAGAAAAAAGAAATAGGAATAAAAAACGACAGTGCAACGTTGGAATTCATGTAATAGACGACTTAACGACTTTATGGTAGTATTGGGATATGTCAAAGATCAAATTACCCATAGTAAATGTGATAGTACTATGTATCATTTACTTTCACATTTATAAACTTCACTCTTGTCATCTTCAAACTACGCATCGTAATCCTAATGTATTTGAATAATATGCAGATTACAAGAAATTACTTTTCTTGGGCTTATATATATATATATACGTTTATCTATGATGCGTTTTATATAAGATAATAAAGAACTAATCTCTAAGATAAATTGAATGGGTAAAATGAAAGGCATGTACTACTTGGTGGCTGCATAAGCTCGAACGAGTCGCTTCTCGTTGGTTGGAAGATTGCACGATCAAGGACGGAACAAACGAGCGTGGCACGTTAGATATATGATGCATATGCGCATGTGCAAGTGCATGATACGACGGACTTATATATGTATATACGTTACGCATATGCACATACATATGCATATGCATATCCATACATGTAAACGCGTGCATCGTTCTGCTGTTACTCTTACTCCCTTACGTATGCAAGACGCAACTGAAAATAAGCGTGTAGAGAGAAAGCTTGAAAGTTCGCTTAACGAGACGAGGAAATGATTTCTCTCAATCTTTCTCTTTTTTTTTCTCCTTTCGCTTTTTCTAATTACAATCAAATGTATATGGGGAGAAACGTTTAAATAAAAATAAAAAAAAAAGAAAGAGGAAAAACTGTCAGTTTACGTTCTGGGTCCATTGTCATTGTCGTCTCATTATACCCTGTAGACGTGTCATCTTTTTTTATCTTATTTTTTTTCGTTGATTGCATTGAAATTCTTAAAAATAAATTAAATATAATGGATAATTGAGAAAAAATACGAATTATTAATCGTACCTAACCTAAACGATTATCGACGCGCGCTAAGGTTCTCGATTACAGGAAATACAACGATGAACAAATGACAACAGAATAAATGAATATCGCAGCGTCCTTTTCTTCTTTATCTGTCACATGTGTCATGAATTTTAACTTTCACAGTTAATATCTATTAAAACACTCACCCAAAAATAATCGGCGAAGTTCATAGTCATGTTGAATTTCGATCAGATCATCATATTCCAATAAACGTTTTAGATATCACACGGTGACGACTACGACGACGGCAGCGGTGACGGCGACGTCGACGACGATGATAATCACGACGACGTAGACAACGGCAACGGGAACGATGTAAAACTTCACGAAACACACGCGACCCGCGTTTAGGCGTTCACCGCACGATTACAGGGAGGCGTAACTCAATTTGCGTGCGAGAGTTACGTTACGTTTTTGTCAGACTCGACATATATTCCCATGTATAATCTTGATTCACTGCTTACAGCGCCTCTACCGGACCTATCAAAGAATTAAATCTTTATAATCATAATAATATGCTTCTATTCAAATTTATTTAACTATTCAAAAAAGAAACCGTTCGAATTTTCTTAGACAATTATTTTATTATAATATATTATTGAAAAATGTTATAATAAAATATTTAAAAAATATATTAAGTTAATTAATTTGACAGATGATACTTAATAGTTATTGTAATAAAATAAATGTTAATATTTTTATATAGACATATATACTTTTAACATACCTACAGAAAAGATTCACGGGATAAAGTAAATTAAATGAATATTTTTCACTGAATTTTACTTTTAACACGAATAAAAAAGTGTTTAATATTCTATTGAAAGAATTAAGAAATATCATATAATTATTTGTAACTTTCTATTTTATATTCAAACGTCAGTTACACGAAACACTGCCATATTAAAGAATAAGTGTGAAATTAACTGCATATCGAAAAAGATTAATTCCAGATATCGACACGTCAATGATGTCGCCACATATCTGTGTTATTATCTTGCAGGTTCTCTGTCAATAAATATAAAACAATATACCATTTTTTGTCTACAATTGATATAAAATTTAAAAAAGAAAATGTTTCCTAATTAAAAATTAACTTTTATAATGAGTAACAAAGCCAATAACACAGGTAAATATTTGAATATATATTTAAATAGATTAATTTTTAATTTAATAATTAATATATTTGTATCATTAGGAGAAACAGATCCTGTGGAAGAAGAATTAGCTGGTAGAGTAAGAGAAGTAGGCAATCATGCGATATGGAGTTTATCAAGTTGCAAGCCAGGTTTTGGAGTAGATCAATTACGTGATGATATAACAGAAACATATTGGCAATCTGATGGGCAACTTCCACATTTGGTAAATATACAATTCAAAAGAAAAACAACGATAAGAGACATATGTATTTATACAGATTACAAACTTGATGAAAGTTATACTCCGAGTAGGTAAGAAAAGATTATTATTACCTTGTAATAATATAGCCAATGAAAATTTCAATTGCTTCTTGATAGAAATTTATTTGTAGAATTAGTATAAGAGCAGGTACAAATTTTAATGATCTTCAAGAAGTTGAAGTTATGGACCTTAATGAACCAAGTGGATGGGTAGTTATTCCTATAAAGGATATAAATGAAAGACCTATCAGAACATTTATGATTCAAATAGCTGTTATAAGTAATCATCAAAATGGTAGAGATACTCATATGCGACAAATTAAAGTTCATTCTCCAGCGCAAGATGTTTTTGGACCACCTGCCCCCTATATGCCAGGACAATTCCTTACTAATGAATTTCTACGTTACGCTACAGTCAGATAGATTAGAGTATTTGTATATATTAGTTTATTTATTACAGTAAGAAAATTCGCTCAACATTTGTATTGTATTCCATAGGTTTCATAGTATCAATAAAGTATCATCATATCCTTAATCCATGTGACCTGATTATATAAAAAAAAAAAATGTACACATTACATATTATCATCTAATAATAATCAAGATATAAACTCTGATCTTGTAAATTCAACTTGCTTGTAGTGTGTAACTCGTGACGAGTAAAGTTTAATACAAAATGATCAATTTTCTAATAATATTCGTAATTATATGCAACATAAGTGATAATCATTTAGGTCATGGATCAGAAATGTTGACTAATGCATTAGAAGATTTAACTCAATTTTTTGAAAAGCTTAAAACAAAATATGGTATGTAAAAAATTCTGTTTATTTATTCGGCAGTTATTAAATTATCAAACTTATTTTCAGAAAATCATTCGTTAAATCTCGATACGTTAAACCAAATCGATAAGAAAATAAATTCGTATATTGAAAATGCAAGTAATCCAATAAATCGATATAAAAGACACGATTCATTCAACAATGCTGTCGGTATGTTATAGAAATATTATTTGTTTGTCTTAATATATATTTTTACTTAAGAAGATAGAGAGAGAGAGAGAGATTGAAATATTTTCAATGTTTACTTTAATGGGTAAATTTTCCTTTGATACCAAAAATTTCATTAAAAACATGCTGAGATTGATGATCGGTTAAATATGTAAGTAATTGTCCCATATCATTATGACGATCTGAACTAGGAAAAGATATTTCTTGAAAGTTATGATATTTACGCATGGTATTTATATTATTTTCATCATTTAAGATCTCATCTTCTATTAATTTAATAAGAATTTTATGCCAATTCATAACTTTTATCTGAAAATGATAACACAAAATGTTATACTAAGTAAGTTTGTAAAAAAGTAAGTTTAGGTTTCTCATAATCATTTTGAATTTAGCAATTAATATAATTCTGTATAATTATTCTACCTTTTGCCACCACAATTCACAATCCGTTTTTATACCTTCTATACAAATAATTCCTGGTTTGCCGGGTAAACAAAATCCAGTGAGAGAATGTTCTTTCGCTAAATTAATTATATCTCGTCTCTTAAGTTTACTATATATATGATGACTATAAATCCAATATCTAGCAAAACTTAATTCACCAGGTTGTTCATGTTCTTTCTTTTCATTTTCATGATTACTTTCTTTATTAACTTTCGAATTTTGAAGATATTTCTCTATGTTATCTTGCAACCATGATATTAATGAATATATACAAGGATCACCTTTTTCATTTGTATTTAAAAAACTTGTCAGTGCTTCATTTAAAAGTAATTGTTGTGTTCGATCTAATGAAGAAGTTCTAGCATAAACTTCAGGTTTTTCTTGAGGATAATCATTCGGCAAACATACTTGAAGTTCAATTATTGCCTAAATAAAATATATAAATATTATATTTTCATTTATATTGTTATCATTATTAAAATCTTACTTCATTCTCAGAAATTTTGATAGAATATTCCAATCTTTGTGGAAGTTCTTGAGGAAATTCAATAAAATTATTAATGTCAGCTAAAATTCCTTGATCTGCGATGACTAATTCTTCTGGATAAACTGACTGTAATGCTTCTAATTCGTATATTTGAGCTGTTAAATTTTCTTTTATATTTTCGTAAAGAGACATTGTATTTAAATGATATATAAGACATATGGAAACTGTTCACTTGTAACAAACGTATTCATGTTGATCTTTTAAAAAGATAATACTAATTTTAAGAGAAAAAAAAACAAAAAACATTGAGTAAAATAATAATTTGAGTTCAGTTTAAAGGTTCAAGGCTAAAAAAAGATTCTGTAAATATTATTGATATAATATAACCATGAATCAAAATTGTACTTAGGAAGCAAGATGCATTTATTTCACATAATTCATTTTAATTTCATTTATTTAATATATACACACATACACACACACATTCTAGATTTATTTATAATATAATAATTAATTATTGCATTTAATTTAAAACAAAAGAATATTATTATTTCTTATTAAACTTTGAAATGAGATATGATACACAAACATATATCGTACACTTTAGGTTAGAATGAAGCGCGGGAATTTTAAATGTCATTATCGAAAGATTAAATGATCGTGTCAAACAAAATTAAAAATAAAACATTAATATTTCAGCTATTAATATTCTGGAAGGTTTTGACGAAATATCGACGTTTAATGTACAAGATTTTAAACATGCAACATTTTTTCCACTTAAATTCAATGGACATTTATTTTGGTTTATGGCAGGCATTAACTCTAATGGAATATCTTTATATCAATTAAATGTATGTAGTATTTTGATATATTATATATATATTAATAGATTACATATTACTAATAAAAAATTGTTGTTTTTTTTTTATTTTTAGAATAAAAAATTTAATCATGTTAAAACATATTCGCAATATAATGGTGTACGAATAATAGTGGACAATTCTATGCATGATACCATAGCTATAATTCAAACTTTCATTGAGAATATAATAATACTACAATTTAATTATATTCAAACTGCGTATGCATTATCCTTTGTACAAACTATTCAAATACCTGGTATAACTGATATTCATACATGGCATTACATGAATGATTTATATTTAGGCATAGCATCGCATCATAATATATCAATTTATATTTGGACTGATGCACACTTTGATTTAATACAAACATTAGATTTTGGAGCAGAAAAATTAACATTCTTTCAAAATAAAGGATTTATGAATCTCATTTGTAATTCATTTCGTACAGTGATATTACGTCATTCTTTACATCTTAATAAATTTATAATAATTCAGACATTACCTGCTAGTAATGCTATTACTACGTTTGATGTAATCAAGGGTCATCTTAAAGAATATTATATATGTTTGTCTACCCATAAAAATACAGTTATCTACAAAGAAGTACATGGATATTTGATATCATTTCAAGAAATTTCTAGTTCAGAAAAGATAATACCATTAATAGATAAAAATGCAATTGTATTATTGTCGCTTAATAAGAATATTGTAACAATTTATCAATACGATGGATGGAAATTTGTTAAATTGAATGTTAACATGTCAGAAATTAATAATATTTATTTAATTAATATTTATGAGAATAAATTAATGTTCATAACGCATGGAGTTACTACATGGAAATTATTACAACCAAAATGGGGTGAAATCAAATCTTTAATTGGTTTGAAAAATGAAATAAAAACTTGGTGTGTTAAAGCTACAGCTATTGCCCAAAGAATACCAAAGGCTACATTTATTTTAAAAACACCATTGTCCATATTGAATGGTCATATACGTGAAATTGATACTCAAAATGTAAATATTTGTTGTTGTTTGTTTTNATATATTACATATAATATTCTATTTATATATATAAAATAAAATAAATAATTATTATTGTAGATAAATGGATATGATTCAAAAGAATTGCAAAACTTAACAAGACAATACGAATATTTGTCTACACAAATACAAACAATGAATGATTATTTAAATAAAAAAATAAACAATAGTAATATTCAATTGAAAACATTACGAGCAAATAAAGTACAAGTGAGATGTGAATCACAATGCAAAGTTAATAATATAATAATAACAGGAAAAGATAATCCATTGTTTAAATTAAAATCTATAAAAGATATTAATCAGAATATAACATTTTCAAATTTAAAAGTAAAAAATATTAATAACTTCAAATGTCCTATTATTGCATTAACACCAACAAATTTGTATCTCAAAGGATTAATTAATAATGTTTCGTTGTCAGATTTACAAGAAAATACATTAAAAATAAGTGGTGATCAAATAGTTCAAAGTTAATATGATTAATTTTGTTTTTTCTTTTTATAATTTAATTTCAATTATAATTATGTTTAAATGTTATTAACTGTATATATATATATGTTTTTTAGGTGATCACATTTTTGTTGAATTACATGTTGATCATAGCATTGTTCCATTAAATATTGCTACAAATTTTACAACTCAAACTGTACATGCAAAAAAGATCTATGTAAAAGAATTGCATGTGAAGAAAGATGGATTTTTATTACCATTAAATGGACCCCCATCTAAAATATCAGGATGTATAACAGTGAAAAATGTAAACGTAACAGGACAAATTACATTGAAAGGAGGATTGAGAGGTAAAGGTGCAAGTTTATTAATGCCAATTAAACGTGTGCCAGATTTTATGGAAATAAATGGGAATCGTCATTTCCATAATATTACCATCATTAATACACTGAGAACTAAAGATATATACAGTCAAAATGGCAAAACTTTAAAAGTTATTTTGAATAATGGAATATTAATAAACAATAAGTTTCCACGACATGTAATATTTTCTAATAACGCGGTATGAACAAAAAAATATATATTTGTATTTTCTGTATTTGTTTGTATTTGTAAATAATTATGTAATTAAATATTATTTCGTAGATTTGGAAAAATGTTACGATAAAAGATTATAATAATTGGGTAACAGCTTATTCTGATAATACAGTTATCATCTCAGGAAAGAAACTAATTAATCATGGTGTGATATTACCACGTTTGGCTTATACACCATCATTCATTCCAAAGTATGTTATTTGAATGTTATTGTGTGAATTTAAATTACATTTTTATTTAAATATTAATTTATTTACGAATATTATAGACTTAACTTATCTTTATGCGTTTCAACTGCTAATGTTACAAATTTAATATTATCTAAAGTACTGATAGATAATATGACTGTAAATCATTTGAAAAGTTTTCACGTATTTGGTGCTAAAGAATTAAATTCTACTATTTTTGAGACAACAACTTCTATCGATAGTATTGATTTATCGACCAAATATTTCATTGGTGTTATTACTGTAAAAGATATTCTACCATTTGATATTAAAGGATTTCATTTAAAAGGCAATAGAATTTTTATCTACAATTTATGAAATATTTGATAATTGTATGATAGATTTTATTTGATTTGATAATAATATTTTATAGGATTTCAAGAAATTCTAAATACCTGGATTGGAAAGAACATTTTTAAAGATATTCAAAATGTAACAAGTTTAAAAGTTAATAATCTTCAAGTTCCTGCAAGATTTACATTTCCACTTCCTACTAAAGTCAAAAATGTTATCTCAAAAGGAAATACTTATGCTAAAATTGTTAATGGTGAAGATATTAAACGTTTCATGAAAAATGTTGTTAGAATAGATGATAGAATTTCTTTGAATAATATAACATTTAGTAAGTAATTATTTTTGTAAAATATGACAATGTTCAGAGATTGAAACCTTTTTTTTTTTTTAAATGTTATAATTATTATTATTATAGATATGGGATTAAAATCTAATAATATACAATTTTCCTATGGATCACTTAACATCACTGATCCAGCAATTTATCCACATTTACATTCAAAACATATTTTGGGTAACATGCAAGTAGAAAAGCTGAATATACCAAAACCTATCATTGATGAAACATACAATACTTTCAAAAATTATATAATACAGGGTAAATTTATAATATTTAAAATATATAATATATTTAATATATTTAAAATATTTATTATATGCAATATAGTAAAAATTTATCTTTCAAATAACATTGATTATAGGTAATGTAACTTTTATATCTGAACCTACTGTACAAAATATAAATAATATTAATTTGAAAAAGTTCTCTTCGGAAATGTATACAATTGATAAAAATATGATTGTAACTGGTAATAATTTTGTCATTAAAAATTTGACTTTATTAGGAAATAATATTACAAAGGTAATAATTATCAATGAGAAAGAAAATGTTTCAGTTTGATCATGATATAAAATCATTTTAATATTCATATTTTTCAGACATCTCTTTATATACCACATTATGGTTCTTGGACAAATATGTCATACAATTTATTAAGTAAAACTAAACCACAAGTAATAAATGTTCCTTGTTGGTTTAATAATATAGAAGTTTACAGTATTCAAGGTTCTCCAAATCTATCTATACAAACTTCTGATTCAAACATAAAGAATATCATTGAAAAGTCTTTTAAAAAAAATGTGTCACAAGTAATTACAGGCAAATGGCATTTTGATAAATTAATATTACCAGGTTCTGTTAATCATTTATCTTATCTTAAAATAATCTTAAATAACAATTTGATTTATGTAAAAAGAAACAATAACATTAATTTTGTACATTAGGTCAAGTAAATTTGCAAGGAAAAATTAACAACATGGATTTAAGAACAGATGTTATGAAACATAGTAGTGAAACAAATGTTGTTACTGGAATGAAAACGGTTTTAGGATTGACTACTAAAAATTTACATGGATTAAATTTCAGTGAATGGTCACAAAATGCAGTATTATCAAATCATCAAAATGTAATTGTAATTAAAGGTCAAAAGACTTTTGCTGATATTAATCTTTCAAGTTTAAGGTATAATTGAAATTATTTAAACAAATAGAATGATTAACATATTATTAAATATTATTAAATATTAAAATAAATTATATTTATAATGTTAACAGTTTGGATGGTACCATAATGGGGAAAAAAATAGAAAATGCATTACTAAAATCAAAACCACAAATTATCAATGGCACGAAAACTTTCGATGGTAATATTATAATGCCAAGTTTATTGATCGATGGTTTAGTGAATGATATTAATTTGACAAGTTTTACCAGTAATCTGTTAAAGAAAAATAAATCTGTACAAATATTAGAGACAGATATTATTTTAAAAGATAGTTTAGAAATATTTGGTAATATTTTCATTGATGGTCTTTATAATGGTATTAAATTAAATAATCTTAATAAGGAATACAAAAAATTAAAATCTATAGAAAATAATTTAACAGAGATTATTGAAATAGTCAAAGTGGCAGGAACTGCTTTAAACAGTTAGTATATACAATTCTAATGTATAATAAAAATTTGAATTATTTATTATGTATATATATATTTTTGTTTGTTTTTACAGATCGAGCCTTTTACTTAAATAAATTAAAAATTGTAAAAAATATGAATGCATTAATAACCAATTTAAATATTAATTATATAGAAAATATGAATTCTTCCTGTAACTTAAAAAATGTATCATTATTTTGTAACAATATTGAAATACAAGACTTTAGTCTTGGATCAGATATAAGTAATTATACAAGACTTCAAATTTTATCTGTCAGGGAAACTACAATTATTGTATTTATTAAATCAGATTGTGTTTCAATTGGTAATATTATTAATGCAAGATTTTATCAGAAGAAAGGTTAGTTATTATCTAAATTATTATACATTTATTATGAATAAGAAAATGTGTATCAATTAATGTTAATTATTTTCTTACAGTTTTTTGTATACCAAATATTCTCAAAGCATCAATAGAATCTGTAGAAAATTCATTATGGATTATTTTACAATTACCATTAGAAATGTTAGCATTTCATTATGTTTCATGGGATAATGTCAAACAGTATACTTTACCACCTTCAAATATGCTTCTCACCATTATATCACCAAATAAAGAATTATTAATGCTTCGATCAGATGGTGTTTGGAATATTAATGAACTTGGAAGGCCACGACACATATTTCAAACTAATTTAACAGGAACAATAGAAACATTTTTTTACGATAACGAATATTATTTTAAAAATATTATCAATGATGGTACTATTTTCATGAAACCTGTATACGTTGGTAATTAAATTGCATCGAAGATTAAATGAAAAATATTACATATTTATCTGTAATATGTATAAACGTTATTCTATTAATATTATAGAGAGAAATACTATTTAGATGTAAACATATGTTAATTCATTCATTTGTTTTTGTCTAATTAATTTATGTTGTTAATGTTAGAATAAATTTTAGTAAATCACTTTATACGTGACAATTTAATTATCATTTTTCATTTATTATTCAAATTATTTAAAAAACCATAGAAATACTACACATAGAACAAACAAGCCAGCATAAAACCTGTCGGTGAAATAAAAAGAGATAGAACATGGAAGGTTGATGTTGTCTCTCTCTAACTTGCACTGAGCGGCGCATGCGCATTAGTCTGCTAGTAGAGGTATATATATGTATCGTATACATACGAGTACGATAAGCACGACAAGTCTAATGCGCATGCGCCGATAACTCAGAAGTCTTGCTATTTTTGAATAAATATTTTCTTATTAAAGTTTTTCATTCTGTTAAGTATGTATTTTAAAATAAGAAAGTTTTTACTTACAGCATAAAGAATTTAGAAGGAATTTTTTGTTTCATAACAAACGGTTCATTACATGGATCGTTTCGCGGGAAAGTATCAATGAGAAGTTTTCTGAAAGAGTCACGTGACAACGATAAACGATATTATCGGTCGATACTATACCCGCGATTTTTCAAATTTATTTTCGAAATACCAAATTTGAATTAAATTACTTTCATGTAATCAACTAAATAGTTCAATTTTCTTTTAGAAAAAAAAGATTATTATTAACTAAATAAAATGCATATAAAATATTCATTATAAATTAATTTTAAGGACAAACGCACCAGATTGTTTTGAAAATTAAATAGAACAAAAAAAGAAAAGAAAATAAAGGAAAAGGAAAAGAAAGAAGAAGAAGAAGACGAATAAAAGGAACGTAATAAACATTTTTCCTTGTTTTATTAATTTTGCAATCGAATTTGTTTTTTTTATCTTTAGATGAATGGTTATTGATCATCTCCTGGGACCACCGCTCTGATTATAAAACCTTTCTATTCTCTTATCGAATGGTTTTTCAAATCGTACTCTACATTTCTATGAATTCTCACGTATTTATACACATTTCTCCGTGTTTTTCATCTTCTATAGAGTTGAATCGATGAAAGGGAAAAATAAAATAAAACCAAAAAAAAAAAGAACAAAAGAATTTTTCAACATTGGTTCGACAAAACGAGGACAAAAGCAACGAAAATTAAATACAACTATTACAGTAATGATTTATTTTCCATTTCATTCGTTCATCAACATGAATTTGATTGGACGTTTGAAAAGAACCCACGCATTATTTGTTCTAAATTCAACCCTTTGCTTTTTTTTTTCAATTCTTTTATCTTCTTAATATATATAAATTACGTATCACGTTGTTTGTCCGCAATGGACTCCTAAACTACTGAATCGATTTTAATCAAATTTTGCACACTGTGTGCAGTTTCATTCAACTTGAAAGATAGTATAGTTTATATCTCAATATATAATCGCAATATTATTTTATTGCGAATTATTTGTTTATTAACAAAGAGTCATGATTATCTTTGTTAGTTCGATAAGATTCTAACAGATGGGGCGGGATTCTAACGTGGCGGGGCACCCCTAGTATTATTCTATATTTTTCATCTTATATCTTATCTTTTCTKTTCTTTTTGTTTAAAGGTAGTAGGTAAGTAGATTTGCTAAGGGTGTTCATATCCTTAATGTTTCGATCGTTGAAAATGTTCCAGGTTTCCTGGCAAGGCTGATTGTGAGATTCAAACGACGTTAATTTCCGGATAACGTTAGGACATTACGAAGGTTCTCATTACGAAGGATGACTATGCGATGCCAAGTTAACTCACCACTACTACTACCACCACAACAGTCTTTTACTGCAATGTGCAGGTCGCACGATACGCGATACAACTTTATGGAAACACCTTTTACCCTTACACGAAAAGGTACTTCGTTACACGAGAGAAGGTTCATGGGCAACGCAATAACGAACTTTCAAACAAAATGTGAAGTTCGAAAAGGGGATTGGGAAAGTGCGCGCGCGCGCGTTCACGAGTCCGTTTCATAATTGCCTTTATATAATATAAATGTGTTTCCCTTTGAATTATTGTTCTTTTACCAGATTTCTACCAACTAATGAAACTGGAATAGAATCATTGAGTTATCGTGTAAACTATCCTTAAGCACATATATATATATATATATTTATGTGAGATCTCTTACAATTAAATACAACGTGCCAACGAAAAAGGATAGATTTGAAAAAAAAACGAAGATGAATTAGGTTTGCTGCAGTAATAATAATTAAGACGATCAAATCGATCGTTTAGATCTTGAAAGAAAGACCAATTTACTAGGAAGAATTTGCACCGTAACTTTAATCGTTTTCCGATTACTAGAAAACTCAACTCATCGTCCAAAACAATTCCAGGTTGGATACGTAATACACGTTTCTATCCAATATCGTCGTTCTAATTTAATTGCATCCTCAGTTTTCCATTGTTCAGTTAGCTTACTCTTCGAAGTAAAAATGGATACCTTAAATGTTTTATACGTAAAAAATGGATATTGCGTTTAAATCGTATTCTCATTCAAATGGGTTTACTTACAATAGTAAGAGGTCCAAAGATATGGGGATATGTATAATGCAATTAAGAACCATACTACAATTGTACCTGTATATACTATACGATATTCGATTACGTTCCGAGGTTTTTTAAAAGACTGGCAGTTGGTAAAAGAGATGATACTCTAGCCTAGAAAGGAAATGAGAACAAATTGTCGTATAAAAAAATACATTTTGTATAGTTTGTAAGAATAACGTCAATACCTTTGTAGCACCCTTTAAAATATGGATATGTTCAGGATCATCTATAATATTATCGTGCTGCTTTTCACTCTTCTTTTCGATTTTCGAAGATTTCTATATATATATATATATAAAACAAAAACAATAAAATATAACAAACCATACTTTGTATTAATAATTGATAATATTTTCAAAGAAACGTTTATACACCTTTTTAGAAAATTTCTCTTCGTTTCTTTTACGTTCCTCTATCGCGTTATTAAGTGCACTTTGTTCAGCAGGCGTCAAAATTAATAATCTTGGATCCATTGCTATCCAATCGCAATATAATATCTGATCAACTTGCCAACGTTTTTTTGTGTCAGGTTCCAAAAGATTGCTAACAGTGGTCTTAGCATTTTCACTTATTGTTTCGTCTACTTTTCGTCGAAATTTCCATTTACGTGCTAACTGTTGTTCGTAGAGTATTTTTATATTGGTTTCGTCAAATGGCATGGCTTTGTTCAATATGATATAAAGAATTACACCCAAGGACCATATGTCTGAACATTTTGGATTATAAGGTGCACCACGTAGGACTTCCGGTGCAGCATATGACAAAGAACCACAATATGTGTCACTTAATACACGTTTACCACGATTATCAATCATGTATCGTGAAAATCCAAAATCAGCTAATTTGACATTGTAATTCGTTGTTAATAATACATTTTCACATTTCATATCACGATGTGCAATTTCCATTTCGTGAAGATATTGAAGACCTACAAAATAAAACAAACAAAAGAATCAAATAAATCCAAAATACAATAAAATGCAATTTACGTGTTGGTTAAATTTGAAATTTGTACATTGTTTTAATCGTTTCGAATACACACACGAAAGATACGTACTACATCGTTTAGCTTTATACGTAACAACATTCCTGAAGGGTTGAAAGAAAAAAAAAAGGAAAAAGAGAAGAGGAGTTGGAGGAGGAGGAGGAGGAGGAGGAGGAGGAAAATTATCGATTGATAAAAATGATATAAAACAGGACGTAATCGTTCGTTAGTGTTTCTCAATAATTGAATTGTCGAGTATGTCGTTATTTGCACGTTCTGTATTCTCGAACGTATATCGATTATTAATGTTTAATCTATACGATTTTATTTTATTCATAAAAAATATTTTTCTTTAGAAAATGTGAATTGTTTTTCCTTATTTTTTTTTTTGGATTTTTATTCCTCCTTTAAATATATTAGGTGGTTCGGAAAATCGTATCGTTTTTTGCTGACGCAATAAATGGCATTAATTGATGCAAATCGACAAATAGTAAAACATGAGATCGATGAGAGATTAAATTGATCAAATTCAACTTATTTATGACCACTTGAAAGGTTTAGGTTTAACCTCGAAGCAAAAATTATTTTCATTTTTACAAAAGAAAAATGAAATGATTTTCCGAACCATCTAATATTTACAGACGAATGTAATCCTTTTTTGAAGGATCAAGCACGAATATCAAAGAGAATTTCTCTTAAAATTTTGTGGACTCTATCGTTGGATTAAAAAGTTTTAGAATATGTGTGTGTATGTGTGATGTGATGTGTGTGTGTGTGTGTGTGTGTATACCAAGAGCCAGTTGTCGAAGCCATATGCGAGCTTGATTCTCTGAAACTGCACCATTTTTGAGGATATAATCAAGAAGATCACCGTTCTCGGCAAAACGCATGAATATAAAATATTTAGTTCGTCTTTGAAAGATACTGTGTATATGTACCACGTGGGGATGATTCAATTTAACTAAAATATCAAGTTCCCTTGGTAAAAATTTACGAACGAAATCTTTCGGTGCTTTTGACGTGTCGATGATCTTGCAAGCCAACGTGCAATCCTTTACTGAACGAAATTGTGATTTGTAATCGGCTTGGTAAACCTATATAAACAAAAACAAAAAAAAAAGATATTATATTTTTAAACAATCTGATAAAATGTATTTTTTTCTTCTTAACATTTTAATGGCCGCTTCCACAACGGCCATGTTGTATGTGTATGATAACCGGAACAATGGACGTTATTTATTTATAATTTTGGATATATTTACAATTATACAAAATTATATTTGTTGTTGTTGTTTTATGTTAATTTGTTCGTTAATTTAATTTCAGTTTTGTTTTTAACCCTTAAAGTGCACACTTGGTAAAAATCAGTTAAAGTGCACTGTGGGGGTGTTTGACACCCCAACGTGTTTGAACGCGTCTCCTGAAGCCGCTATTTAATATTTACACCTCGCAATTTTTGTCAAAGTACTTTGATATATCTTTTTTTTTTAAAATAGAATAGGTTTTATATTCATCTAAATTAACACTAGATGGCATTAGACAAATAACCCATTTTTTTTCGAGAATTCAGTACCCTTTTCGAGAGATCACAAATTTGTTGAGGATGTCAAACATCCCATGTGCACTTTAAGGGTTAAAATTAATTTTTTTTTTTCCAAGAATATTACTGGCCCCATAGGCGACGTTTGATTGTATAGACGTGCGGCCATTACAGTGTTAATGCTAAAAAGAACAAGAAATATATAGAATAGATAGAAAATAAACGAGTAAAAAATTGCGAATAAATTAACAACAAAAATTTCATCGAACGAACAAACGAACGTACGAGAGCTTTCATGTTTTTCTCAAAATAAACTTTATTTCTATCATACGATCGCAATAAATTCGTTTACCGAAACGTTTAATCATCGTGTTCGCGTGATTGTTCTTCGATGTCATATGCAGCGGACCAACTTTCATCGATTTTCCTGAAGGCAAAGGGAGTTGGGAGAAAAAGGGGATGAAAAATCGACGATTGTTTTCGATGAAACCTTTTTTTCTTTTTTTTTTTTTTTTTCTATTGCAACACGTTAATTTTCAAACAAAATTATACGACATTTTCAATTGTCGCGTTGAAAACAAACCTATGACCATAAATCGATCATTTATATTTATTCGTATATTTTCTTTAATTTATAACTTTGATAAAACTTTAACGAATCATCCGTTGGTTTCTCGTCAAAGTTTTTTTTTTTATTCATTCATTCGTTAACACTAGATATATCAGACTAGTCATTTTGTCTAGTTGACGCCATTTTAATTCACAATTTCTATGTTCATGTAACAATTTGATTTCTGTAAATAATTGAAAAATGTCTATAAATACATTTAACTATTAAAATTATTATTGTTCAACATTTTTGATTATTTTTTAAGAATAAATTAAGACTGGAAGTCTCAAAAAGCATTTCTATATGTACACCAGTCATTTTGACTAGTGTGGTAGAAAATGGTGGTATATCTAGTGTTAAATAAAAAGTACGTGTGTTTTCTTTGACTCTTTTAAATAAAATCATCCTTAATATCAATAATAAATTAAAAATAAGATTTGGGATTAGTGAAACACCTTAGCATAAGAACCTTCGCCGATTTTTTTCGATAATTTATAACCACGTTCTAATAAAATGGCTTCCTCGGACGCTGTTTGACCCAGATCTGACATGAGACTTGACGAACAAGAGATTGCATCGTACCTGCTCCGTTATCATAATTAACTAGGAATTGTAACTATCTTTAATCCTAAACTTTAAACGAACTCACGTTAGTTTATCTTGTTTGTATATAACGCGTGTAACTTGATAATGTTAGAGGTTAATATGTTAATAAATCCATGAGAGAGAGAAGAGAGATTATATTTCATGGGTTGCTATGTTAAATGTGCAATATGAAAAATTCGATATCGAATTGAATAATTTTTCATAACGAATAATCGTTAAATCAATATAGTAATACGTATATCGAATTTGATTTTTTTTATTATCGTATTATTAATTAATTAAATTGAAACATTCGAAAACAAGATGTAAAAAGTTTCAATAGAAATCTACGTATAATCGTTTTATCCAATGAAATATAAAAGAAAGACAATTCAATAGAATTTGGATCGTTTTAAAATAGGTAATCTTATTCACATTATTAAAAATCAACGTGTAATAATAATAATAATAATAATTATTATTATTATTATTAATTGACGTTAGGAACTCGAAAGTTCATTGCAGCAAATACCAAATTCCCGCCATTGTTAATATGTAAATATACTTAATACACTTAATTACACTTTAATTTGAAATTGATTGAAATAGACAATTTCTAATGGAAGATGAGTATTTCTGTTTTTTTTTTTTTTTTGTTCGAAAGAGAAATGACGAAATTAATAACGAATATGTCACTGCCAGAGATTCTCTCTCTCTCTCTCTGGTTCATGGTTGAAACCATAAAACGAATGCTTCGTCATTCAACGAATTGGTAAACTTCCAAGTAAATTTCAAAAGCAAAATTCTATACCACCACACAGTGGAAAAAAGAAAATCACTCTTGCAATAGAAACTTATTAATTACCGCAAAAGAATCTTTTCATGAGAGCATAACTTTGCAAGCTTTTGTAAAGATGATATATATATATATATATATAATATACTCTTATAAAGGAACTGCTTAACGTTGAGATACGAGATTGACAATGAACGCTGAAACAGCTTAGGGAAGCTCTTACACGGCTTTTCATTTATCGTCTTTTCCCATTGTCTTCATATTAATAACTAGACTGTGCAACTGCTATATTTAATGACTACCACCGCGTTTTCATTTTAGTTACTCTCAAAACGTGAAATATTTTACATTCAATAATAATTCTTCTTATATAAAAATGAATTTAAAAATAAAAAAAAAAAGAAGAAGAAAAACTAACAATAAAAATCATTGCAATTACGTCAATGCAATGATGTAAATGAATACAAGATATAACCAACAAATAAATTTACCTAAAAAGAAAAAGAATTAAAACAAAAATCTATATATATATATATATATATTTATAATAATAATAATAATATATAATTTATATTCATGTGATTATATATAATATATCTTGTAATAATAATAATATTAGATAGACAATTTTGTGGGATGATGGTATCTTCATTAAAAGCTTAAAACATATTTTGTCTTCACTCATTTCAAAGATATTACCAAAAAAATGTATATACATTATTTATTATAATAATAATAATAATAATAATAATAATAATTGTAGATGATTGTGGGATGGTGGTATCTTCATTGAAAGCTTAAAACATAAGATTTAACGAGTATAAATAGTGAACTAACACACCGACCCTCCATCGTTCTCCGTTCTTTTTGCAAAGTTTACCGAAGTAAGCGTGTAATTTTGGATTACAACGACTGCGTGTTAAAATCTAGGTCTTAACCGCGGTCGAATACGCGTTGCCATGCGACGAAACTACTACGGTGCAGGCACTCAAAGGTAATCGTGTACACCCTGAGCCGAGTGCGAGCATAATCCTCATCTCATTCCATGCGGGTTTGACAACGGGAAGGGCTCTGTCACCTCGAGCACGATTCATGAAGAGCCCCGCTGGACTCAAAGCGTCCGCGTTCCGCAGTTTTATGGATGCTGGGTAGATGGTTGTTCTGTATACGTGCGTATGTAGGTATGCATGTGTTAAATCTTCCTACTATACTATCCCCTTCTTCAACAACCAACCAACCCCTTCTCTCTCTCTCTCTCTCTTTGTGTTATGCTCTTCATATTCGTCTATATACACGAACATTCATCAATTTCCCTTTCTCCATTTCCTATTCCATCCCTTTGTGATTTAGTTCTCGTTATTGTTGTCAATACCTCATGTAAGAGGATCTATTTATTTTACCATTAAATGATGTTCCTATCAATTCCTTCCCCATCCTACCAAAACCAACCTCTTCTCTATATTTTTTGTTTTTTTTTTTGTTTTTTTGTTATTTCCTTTTTACCTCGGTAAAAATTTCAACCCTATCTTTTTATCGAACTATCGATTACTTCAGATCGCTTCTCAGATTACACTATCATACCGAAAGTTTTTTTTACGAAAACGATACTTTCTCGATACTTTCACGCTATCATTTTACCCTTCCTCTCTATAAACTTTAGGGTTTATTATATATATATATACACAATATTTTAGTTGAACTATGACTGTATAAGATGAATAATAAATAGAAGTTCTTATAGAAATATCTAATGGAATAGTTTACACTAAACTTAATTATCATCTAAGATTAAATTATCGTTCATAATTAATTTGTTAATATTTGGTAATTTGTATCAAAAATAAATGCAGTGAAAGTAAAATAAAATGTACATTATTTTCTATATACTAAATACTGTATACTACTGTATACTATACTAAAAAATTCTATATATACTATATATTATATTATATTATATTCTATATAGTATTTTCTATAAAATATGGAATACTATATTGTGTGTGTGTATATAATATTATTCTAATATTACAATATACTATACTATACTATATTATATATAATATTTTCTATAAAATATATACAATACTATATTACATATAATATTATTATAATATTACCATATACTATACTATATTATATATAATATTTTCTATAAAATATANCTATAAAATATATACAATACTATATTACATATAATATTATTATAATATTACCATATACTATACTATATTATATATAATATTTTCTATAAAATATAGAATACTATATTGTGTATATAATATTATTCTATAAAATATAAAATATACTATATTACAGTAGATAATATTTATTGTATTATAATAGAAAATACTATAGTATATATAATATAGTATTTATATAGTCTAGTTCATAATATAGTATATAATATATTATAAAATAATATACTTCTTCTTCTTATTAGAACTTTATCCTATTATCCCTAACTAAATAACCTAAAGAAGCTATTTTGTTAGTTACGAGAGCAATTATTTTTGTATTTTATTAAAGTTAGATTGCTAGCCTCACCCTCAAATCCTCCCATCCCTTTATCTGGGGATTAAGATACTATAGACAATTTAATTATATATATATTATTATAAATAAAAGAAAATATATACTGTTCACTACTATTCAATTGATTAAAATCTCATTCTACATTAAGGTAGAAATTGGTATACACGAAATGCATCGATAGCTTTATTGTTAACAATTCCAAAACGTGAATCATTAGTATAGGCATGGTTTCAGCTTTCATATGTATTAATTATTGATTCTCTAAACTAACATTTAACATTTCTAATGACGATTCGTTGATATATGAATATTTCCAATATCCAATCGTTGGCTATTCAAAGTTTCTCTCTCTCTCTCTCTCTCTCTCTCTCTATCTCTTGTATTATTTGTCTGTTTTATCATTATTATTTTTTTTTTAAATAAAAATAAAAAAATAAATATTTCATCGTTTACAAAATATAATTAACGAATTAAATTCGTTGTAAATAATATAATATTATTAAGAAGTTAATTTCTGCAGTGTGTGTGTGTGTATGTATAGTCGACTAAAAATGGTTTTCCTTTTTTTTTTTTTTTTTGGGTCTTTTTTTCCTGTTAAATTCTCTTTTCTCTTCTTTCTCTTCCTTCATTCCCCACCTATAATCCTGCTAATTACGTGAATATTATGAGGGGAATACTGAAAAAAAAAAGAGAGAAAAAAGAGAACAAAAAAAACAAAAACAAAAAAAAATAATAAAAATAAAAATACAAATTTCTAGATACCTATTTTTACCTTGACGTTTCAGAGAGAAATGAACCGGAGCCCCTGGCGCTTCTCTCTTTTATACACCACCTAGGTCCCTCCCCCTTTAACCCTTCCTCCGCCCCCCTCCTCCTCCTCCTCCTCTTACTCTTCACCGTTTTCCTGGTCCTTTACCACTTCTTCTATCACTGCAGCTTTTTTATATAACTCAAATGCGGCATATTCCCCATCGTTCACAGGTTTTCGACTTCTATGATATTTCAAAATCGATTAATCATTTTCCTTGTTTTATTATTATTATTATTATTATTATTATTATTAAAGATTTTTTTGGAAAATTACTTATCGTTTGGTTTGTAAAATCACAAGCTTTAGAATTTGTTTATATTTATAGTTCTAACTATACCTTTCATAACATCCTTGTTTTCTTCTTTTGTAAAATTAATTCAATAACTTGTTTTAATTTCCAGAACTCTCTCTCTCTCTCTCTCTCTCTCTCTCTGTTTCTGTAATAAAAAATAAATGTTAAAAATATAGAAATAAAAAAGAATGATTTACTGTTCAGTTTGTCAAATTATAAGCTTTAGAATTTGATTATTTTGAGAATTTGATTACATTCTGTGTTTATAGTTTGAATTGTATGTTTATATCATCCTTGTTTTCTTCTTTTGTAAAATTTATTCAATAACTTGTTTTAATTTCCAGAACTCTCTCTCTCTCTCTCTCTCTCTCTCTCTCTGTTTCTGTAATAAAAAACAAAAATGTTAAAAATATAGAAATAATTAATCTCGTATTAAAAAGGAAGACTGTATAAAACTTCTATTTTTTCTTCTTCTTTTTTTTTGTCGTATTTCAAACAAACAGCTTCGTCTCAAATGATGTTCCAATTTTTTTTTTTTTTTTTTTAATATAATCA